TTGGCGCGCGCGGGCGTGAGTCGATTTTTTTGTTTTCCCATACAAATCTTTTTTTCGGGAAATGTTTTTTCGGGGGAAAACCCAGTGCAGCGGAGTTGACCCCCAAAAAGCGCCGCAGGGCCTATGAGAAGAGAGCGAGTGCGGCCTACGGGCAGCACAGCGCGACTGCTCCGCCTCAGCACGCAATGGTGGTGGCGAGTGCGCTGTAGAAAAGCAGCGCAGCAATCGAACGTCCCGTATCTTACAGATCACAGCGTCGTGACCGCCCAACCGGCCCTGCAGGCAATTACGTCTCGGCCGGCGGCGGCTCATAGCTGCGATCGCCCACAGGCGCGACGGCCGCTCCGGCGGACCGCCAGACCTGTGTTCCCCGGCGGGATTGGCGCGCTTCGGCGCCCCAGTCCCCAAGGATGGGCTCTGTAGACGGATGGCCGCTGGCTAGCCTTTTACTGAGCATCGGGAGAAAGACGCCCGCCGCGGACGCTGAATAGCTGAAGCGGCGGGGCCAGTCTCTCCTCTCGGGGCCCCCTAGCCACGCCTGGCGCGGCGAACGGGGCTCTGGGGAACGAGGGGTGGGAAGCCGGAAGCCACGGGGGCGCCAGTCGGCCCAGCCGACAGGCCGCCTCCGCGGTGCGAGCGCCGTCCCCAGGGACGGTGGCCCGCTCGACCTGTAACACAATCTCTTCGGCCGCCGCTCGCGGCGCCGATGGCCCTCACGGGCTCACGATAGTTACCTGGTTGATTCTGCCAGTAGTCATATGCTTGTCTCAAAGATTAAGCCATGCATGTCTAAGTTTAAATAATTTTACTGTGAAACTGCGAATGGCTCATTATATAAGTTATCGTTTATTTGATAGTACCTTACTACATGGATAACCGTGGTAATTCTAGAGCTAATACATGCTAAAAACCTCGACTTCGGAAGAGGTGTGTTTATTAGATTAAAAACCAATGCCCTTCGGGGCTCACTGGCGATTCATAATAACCTCTCGAATCGCATGGCCTTGCGCCGGCGATGGTTCATTCAAATTTCTTCCCTATCAACTTTCGATGCTAGAGTAGTGTTCTAGCATGGTTACAACGGGTAACGGAGGGTTAGGGCTCGACCCCGGAGAAGGAGCCTGAGAAACGGCTACTACATCCAAGGAAGGCAGCAGGCGCGCAAATTACCCAATCCCGACACGGGGAGGTAGTGACGATAAATACTGATACAGGGCTCTTTTGGGTCTTGTAATTGGAATGAGTACAATTTAAATCCCTTAACGAGGAACAATTGGAGGGCAAGTCTGGTGCCAGCAGCCGCGGTAATTCCAGCTCCAATAGCGTATATTAAAGTTGTTGTGGTTAAAAAGCTCGTAGTAGAACCTTGGGCCTGGCTGGCCGGTCCGCCTCACCGCGTGCACTGGTCCGGCCGGGCCTTTCCCTCTGTGGAACCGCATGCCCTTCACTGGGTGTGCCGGGGAAACAGGACTTTTACTTTGAAAAAATTAGAGTGCTCCAGGCAGGCCTTTGCTCGAATACATTAGCATGGAATAATAGAATAGGACGTGTGGTTCTATTTTGTTGGTTTCTAGGACCGCCGTAATGATTAATAGGGACAGTCGGGGGCATCAGTATTCAATTGTCAGAGGTGAAATTCTTGGATTTATTGAAGACTAACTACTGCGAAAGCATTTGCCAAGGATGTTTTCATTTATCAGGAACGAAAGTTAGGGGATCGAAGACGATCAGATACCGTCGTAGTCTTAACCATAAACTATGCCGACTAGGGATCGGACGATGTTATTTTTTGACTCGTTCGGCACCTTACGAGAAATCAAAGTGCTTGGGCTCCAGGGGGAGTATGGTCGCAAGGCTGAAACTTAAAGAAATTGACGGAAGGGCACCACCAGGGGTGGAGCCTGCGGCTTAATTTGACTCAACACGGGGAAACTCACCAGGTCCAGACACAATGAGGATTGACAGATTGAGAGCTCTTTCTTGATTTTGTGGGTGGTGGTGCATGGCCGTTCTTAGTTGGTGGAGTGATTTGTCTGCTTAATTGCGATAACGAACGAGACCTTAACCTGCTAAATAGCCCGTATTGCTTTGGCAGTACGCCGGCTTCTTAGAGGGACTATCGGCTCAAGCCGATGGAAGTTTGAGGCAATAACAGGTCTGTGATGCCCTTAGATGTTCTGGGCCGCACGCGCGTTACACTGACGGAGCCAGCGAGTTCTCCCTTGGCCGGAAGGCCCGGGTAATCTTGTTAAACTCCGTCGTGCTGGGGATAGAGCATTGCAATTATTGCTCTTCAACGAGGAATCCCTAGTAAGCGCAAGTCATCAGCTTGCGTTGATTACGTCCCTGCCCTTTGTACACACCGCCCGTCGCTACTACCGATTGAATGGCTCAGTGAGGCTTTCGGACTGGCCCAGAGAGGCGGGCAACCGCCACTCAGGGCCGGAAAGTTATCCAAACTCGGTCATTTAGAGGAAGTAAAAGTCGTAACAAGGTCTCCGTTGGTGAACCAGCGGAGGGATCATTACTGAGTTACCGCTCTATAACCCTTTGTGAACGTACCTAACCGTTGCTTCGGCGGGCAGGGGAAGCCTCTCGCGGGCCTCCCCTCCCGGCGCCGGCCCCCACCACGGGGACGGGGCGCCCGCCGGAGGAAACCAAACTCTATTTACACGACGTCTCTTCTGAGTGGCACAAGCAAATAATTAAAACTTTTAACAACGGATCTCTTGGTTCTGGCATCGATGAAGAACGCAGCGAAATGCGATAAGTAATGTGAATTGCAGAATTCAGTGAATCATCGAATCTTTGAACGCACATTGCGCTCGCCAGCATTCTGGCGAGCATGCCTGTTCGAGCGTCATTTCAACCCTCAAGCACCGCTTGGTTTTGGGGCCCCACGGCACACGTGGGCCCTTAAAGGTAGTGGCGGACCCTCCCGGAGCCTCCTTTGCGTAGTAACTAACGTCTCGCACTGGGATCCGGAGGGACTCTTGCCGTAAACCCCCCCAATTCTTTACAGGTTGACCTCGGATCAGGTAGGAATACCCGCTGAACTTAAGCATATCAATAAGCGGAGGAAAAGAAACCAACAGGGATTGCCCCAGTAACGGCGAGTGAAGCGGCAACAGCTCAAATTTGAAATCTGGCCCCAGGCCCGAGTTGTAATTTGCAGAGGATGCTTTTGGCGCGGTGCCTTCCGAGTTCCCTGGAACGGGACGCCATAGAGGGTGAGAGCCCCGTACGGTTGGACACCAAGCCTTTGTAAAGCTCCTTCGACGAGTCGAGTAGTTTGGGAATGCTGCTCTAAATGGGAGGTACATTTCTTCTAAAGCTAAATATTGGCCAGAGACCGATAGCGCACAAGTAGAGTGATCGAAAGATGAAAAGCACTTTGAAAAGAGGGTTAAACAGCACGTGAAATTGTTAAAAGGGAAGCGCTTGTGACCAGACTTGCGTCCGGTGAATCACCCAGCTCTCGCGGCTGGGGCACTTCGCCGGCACAGGCCAGCATCAGCTTGCCGTCGGGGACAAAAGCTTCAGGAACGTGGCTCCTCTCGGGGAGTGTTATAGCCTGTTGCATAATACCCTTCGGCGGGCTGAGGTACGCGCTCCGCAAGGATGCTGGCGTAATGGTCATCAGCGACCCGTCTTGAAACACGGACCAAGGAGTCAACCTTATGTGCGAGTGTTTGGGTGTTAAACCCCTACGCGTAATGAAAGTGAACGCAGGTGAGAGCTTCGGCGCATCATCGACCGATCCTGATGTTCTCGGATGGATTTGAGTAAGAGCATATAGGGTTGGACCCGAAAGAAGGTGAACTATGCGTGTGTAGGGTGAAGCCAGAGGAAACTCTGGTGGAGGCTCGCAGCGGTTCTGACGTGCAAATCGATCGTCAAACATGCGCATGGGGGCGAAAGACTAATCGAACCTTCTAGTAGCTGGTTTCCGCCGAAGTTTCCCTCAGGATAGCAGTGTTGAGCTCAGTTTTATGAGGTAAAGCGAATGATTAGGGACTCGGGGGCTATTTTTTGCCTTCATCCATTCTCAAACTTTAAATATGTAAGAAGCCCTTGTTACTTAGTTGAACGTGGGCATTCGAATGTATCAACACTAGTGGGCCATTTTTGGTAAGCAGAACTGGCGATGCGGGATGAACCGAACGCGAGGTTAAGGTGCCAGAGTAGTCGCTCATCAGACACCACAAAAGGTGTTAGTACATCTTGACAGCAGGACGGTGGCCATGGAAGTCGGAATCCGCTAAGGACTGTGTAACAACTCACCTGCCGAATGTACTAGCCCTGAAAATGGATGGCGCTCAAGCGACTCACCCATACCTCGCCCTCAGTGTAGAAACGATGCGCTGAGGAGTAGGCGGACGTGGAGGTCAGTGACGAAGCCTAGGGCGTGAGCCCGGGTAGAACGGCCTCTAGTGCAGATCTTGGTGGTAGTAGCAAATACTTCAATGAGAACTTGAAGGACCGAAGTGGGGAAAGGTTCCATGTGAACAGCGGTTGGACATGGGTTAGTCGATCCTAAACCATAGGGAAGTTCCGTTTCAAAGGGGCACTTGTGCCCCGTATGGTGAAAGGGAAGCCGGTCAATATTCCGGCACCTGGATGTGGGTTTTGCGCGGCAACGCAACTGAACGCGGAGACGACGGCGGGGGCCCCGGGCAGAGTTCTCTTTTCTTCTTAACGGTCTATCACCCTGAAATCGGTTTGTCCGGAGCTAGGGTTTAACGGCCGGAAGAGCCCAGCACTTCTGTTGGGTCCGGTGCGCTCTCGACGTCCCTTGAAAATCCGCGGGAAGGAATAATTCTCACGCCAGGTCGTACTCATAACCGCAGCAGGTCTCCAAGGTGAACAGCCTCTGGTTGATAGAACAATGTAGATAAGGGAAGTCGGCAAAACAGATCCGTAACTTCGGGATAAGGATTGGCTCTAAGGGTTGGGTACGTTGGGCTTTGGGCGGACGGCTTGGGAGCAGGTCGCCACTA